AAGAGGAGGAGGAGGAGGAGGAAGATGGAGGAGGAGGTGGAAGAGGAGAAGGAAAAGGAGAAGGATGGTGGAAGAGAAGAAGGGTGGCAGAGGAGGAAGAGGAGGAGGAGAAAGGAGCTGGAGCTGGAAGAGAAGGAGAAGGTGGAGAAGAAGAAGGAAGATGGAAGTGGAGCTGAGGAGAAGGAGAAGGGAGGAGCAGGAAGGTGGAGATGGAGCTGGAAGACAAGGAGAAAGGAGGAGAAGGAAGGTGGAGGTGAAGAAGGAAGGTGGAACTGGAGCTGGAAGACAAGGAGGTGGAGGAGGGTTTTAATATCCACTGGAAGAAATAAAGATCCCTATTACAATCTTTTTCAGTTTGATTAGAATTTTATATATGAGTATGAACTGTATGTTGGTTAATTTTAATGGTTTTCCCAAAGTATCTTGAGAATTGGAGTTGAAATTCCTCCATAAAGAAAGTCCAACCTTCAAAGATTTATGGCTCACAGAGATTTTTATGGAAAGGGGTTTACAAAACCTGTCCAAGGGTCCTCCTTTGCTTGATTTTCTGCAGAAATGTGTGAAACTTTAGGAATTCTCTAGGAGTTGTAGTTCCAGCCCATCAGGAAAGCACCAGATTAGAGAAAACTTCAGGTAGTTCCTGGACTTTAGTGACTGTTCGAAGTTACAACAGCACTAAAAAAAGTGACTTATGACCATTTTCCACACTTACAACCAATCCAGCACCCCCCCGATCAGGTAATCAGAATTTGAGTGCTTGGCAACTGGCAGGTATTGATGGTGGTTGCATGGTCCTGGAGGTCATGTGGTCACCTTTTGTGACCCTCTGACAAGCAAACTCATTGGGGAAAGCCAGATTCACTTAGCAACCGTGTTTCTCACTTACCAACTGCAGTGATTCATTTTACAACTCTGGCAAGGAAGGTCATAAAATGGGACAAGACTCACAACAATTGTTTCACTTAGCAATAGAAATTATGGGCGTAATTGAGAAGCTGAAGCCAATCTGTATTCTAAGCAGTTATTGGAAAGGTATCCCCAAACCAATTAGACTCCGGCTGCTATTTTTATTCCAAAGTTGTAGCATTTCTTACAATAAAAGCACATCCTAGAATGAAATTTATAAAATTATAGGATGGGATGGAATCTCTGTATTTTTGAGAACAGGATACATCTGCAAAGGATGAATAAGTGATATAATGGTGAGAATTTAGTTAAAAACAAGTCAATAATTGCAGACTCCTTTTTGTATGATTTCATACCCCACCACCACCCAAAATTTAAAAATAAGAAATAAAAAAAATCCCTAAGGACTTTAGTTCTTTTAAGTTCATCACTGTAAATCAATTTAATAGTGCCTGAAAGCTCCAACTCAAGAAACTGGCGTTAGTCCAGAGTGAATTAATCTGAAATTAATTTGATTTTGAAAGGCTCCATCTGGTTATGTTTGGAAAAGGCAGTTAGACAAAGAAAGAAAGATATAAACAAATGATCATCTGTATTCTCTGTGCCAGATGTTTTCTCTGTTTTCTTTTCTTTCCCCCTTTTAAAAGAACTAAGGGTATTTTTTTAAGTGATGGAAAGGGTGATGATGCAGGCTGACTCTTGAAATGACAGTAATTTGCTTTTTACGAATGTGTTTCTTTTTTTAAAAAAGAATCAGAGGTTCTAATAGAGAAGAAATGGGAAAGAGACTTCAAGAGACATAACATTAGTAACCTTAAAAACGGAGAATTGGACAGCCATAATCTAATTTCATTGACAAGAGTCGTGCAAAAGAAATGAGGGTTGAAATTGACAGCGTGCTCTAAAATTAGGGCATTTAAACTGAAATAAAGTGAAAGACACATTGTCAACCCTTAAGCACATGACCTGAAATCGCAATCCTTTTTGTTCCCCCCACTTCTGCAAAGAACTGTATTCTTTTCAGAAAGAGGTTTGTAAACTGCAGTTTATTAATTGCGCTACGGTACTCTGATTCATGCAACACGCAACATGCTACGCTGTGCCACGGCTGAACCGAGCACGGAGTCCGCACCAGTGCTGACCCACTCTAAGCAAGCCATTCCAGCTTTTCACATTGTGTGAACTCTCGCTGGGCTTACACCCCACCATTGCATACAGTAGCATGTAAGGTTCTAATGGGAAAAAGGAAAGAACTAATCTTTTAGCATTTAATTTTTATTTATTGTCTTTATATTTCAACCTGCCGTTCAGAAACATAAGGCAGCATAGCTAAGGGCCAGTTTGGTGTAGTGGTTAAGGCGCTGGCCTGGAAACCAGGAGATGGTGAGTTCTAGTTCCACCTTAGGCATGAAAGCCAGGTGACTGACTTTGAGCCAATCAACAGGAGACTGTGGGTTCTAGTCCCGCCTTAGGCATGAAAGTCAGGTGACTGACTTTGGGCCAATCACCAGAAGGCTGTAAGTTCTTGTCCTGCCTTAGGCATGAAAGCCAGCTGGGTGACTTTGAAGCACTCAACAGGAGACTAGAAGTTCTAGTTCCTCCTTAGCCAAAAGAGCCAGCTGGGTGACTTTGGACAAATCAACAGGAGACTGTGGGTTCTAGTCCTGCCTTAGGCATGAAAGCCAACTTTGAGCCAATCAACAGGAGGCTCCAAGTTCTAATCTCTCCTTAGGCCTGAAAGAAGGCTGGCTGGGGAATTCTTGGGTTGAAGTCCACATATATTAAAGCCGCCAAGGTTGAGAAACACGGGTAGTAGACAATCTTGACCTAGTAGCCTATTTTATTCTTATCTCCTTCCTCTATCAAAAGGTAGATTTAAAACATTTCGTCAAAAGCCAGATTTTCCCAGAAATCTTCCTCAAGTAGAAAAGCCAGGAATGAATGAATATTTCCAGAATCTCAGCAACCAGATTATTTTTCATTTTAGAACCCAATTTATTCCCCCCGCCCCTGTTAAGGTGTAGATTTTTATTAATAGCCTTTCGTCAATCAGCAAGGATCAGCACTTCCTTTCTCACCTCACTCCCAGAATTTCCCAGACATCTGATAACAGATAATCAGAGTTGGAAGGGACCTTGTAGGTCATTTAGTCCAACCCTCCTCCACCCAACTATTAAAGTTGTCAAGTTTGGAGACCCAAAGGTGGGATGTTCGTTTGTTTTTGGACTTTTCTTTTGTTTTTTTAACCTTGAAGACATTTTGCTTCTCATCCAAGAAGCTTCTTCCGTTCTCAACCTTCTTGGATGAGAAGCCAAATGTCTCCAAGGGGGGGGGGGGAAAGCAAAGAAAATTCCAGTTGCCTTTTTGAAAAGCACTTTTGGGACAGCTATGACCTGGAGGGCTGAGAATCTCCATCGACATCAAGTTTGGAGATCTCTTGCATTAGTATAAGGTCTTGGAAGTTCTGGCAATCGCATCTCTGCTGCATTTGACCAAAGGAAAATTAAATTTAAGGTTTTTATTTTATTTTATTTTTAAAAATCTGCTTAAACTGGGATTAGCAACCCATGTTAATGCATTACTACCATCACCACCCATTACGTGGAATAGCTGCATTTTCTTGCTTTCTGTAATCCCATGTTGGTTCCCCATTTCTCGTTGTATCGCATCTTTGAAAACTCGCCATCAACTCAGTGCTACGGTCATTTCTGGAATCATTACCAAAATGAGAGCATTGTCCCTACTTTTAACTGGAGGTGGATGCGTCCATCCTTTTGCCTGCTTTTAACTCTCTTCCCCCTTTCATCTCGCAAGTCGTCGTGTTGTTTTGCTTCTTTTAATACTCTCCATTTCATCCCATTTCTGGAGCTTTGAAATAGAGCCAGCAGTGGAAAACGAGGACACAATTGGGTGAGCCTTCTGCTCCCTTTCCATGTCCGCTTCCATGTGAATTCGCCCATTAAAGCCATAAGAATTCCCTCCCGTATCCCTGGCAGTTTTTGGGTTTTTTTTTTTAAATGAAAGGACACAGGCTTATTTTCACGCACGGGTCATCCTCAACTTACAAATATTTGTTCGGTGATTGCTCAAAGTTACAGCGGCACTGAAAAAGTGACTGATGACCGTTTTTCCACACTTACCACCGTTGCATTGCCCCTCATGGTCACGTGATAAAAAAAAAAAACCAGTGGAACAACTTGCCTCCAAAAGTCATGAATGCTCCAACACTGGAAGTTTTTTAAAAATGTTGGATAACCGGTTGTCTGAAGTGGTGTAGGGTTTCCTGCCTGGCAGGGGTTTGGACTAGAAGACCTCCAAGGTCCCTTCCAACTCTGTTATTCTATTCTATTGTCAGATGGGGAGATGAGGATAACAGCAATACAACCTTACAACATGGGTAACTGTCCTTAGGCATAAAACAGTGCTGAGGGAAATGTGTATTTAGCAGAGTGATGGCACAGGGGGGAAAAACTGTCTTTGTGTCTAGTTGTTTTGTCGTGCAATGCCCTATAGCAGGGGAGGAGTTGAAACAGTTTGTGTCCAGGATGTGAAGGGTCTATAGGTATTTTCTCAGTCCTCCTTGTGACCCATGCAGTATACAGGTCCTTGATGGAAGGCAAGCTGGTTGCAATGGTTTTTGTTTTTTCTGCAGTCCTAACTATCCGTTGAAGTCTCTACTTGTTCTGTTTGGTTGCTGTGCCAAATCAGACAGCCATAGAGGTACAGATGTCAGACTCTATAATTCCTCTGTAGAACTGCATCAGCAGATCCTTGGGTAATCTGAGCTTTGTGAGTTGATGCAGGAAGAACTGAGTTTGCTGTGCCTTTTTAATGACGGTGTTAAGGTTGGGGGTCCATTTGATGTCCTAGGGGATTATTGAACCCAGAAACCTGAAGGTCTCTATGGTTGATACCACGTTGCCTAATATTGTAAGACGTAGTAGGATTCTTACTGTAGGTAAAGGTGTGGGTCATTCTGCTGTAGACCCATTAAATTTGTGAAGGGAGCATTGCTTATTCTAGTCTATTCAATGCAGACGCCTCCCAAAAATGCCCTTTCTGTAACCCCCTTCTTTCTCTCTTGTGTTTTCCAGCAACGGCACAGCTAACAAAATGAATGGCGCTCTGGATCATTCAGACCAACCAGACCCTGATGCCATCAAGATGTTTGTTGGACAGATCCCCCGCTCGTGGTCGGAAAAAGAATTGAAAGAACTTTTTGAGCCTTACGGAGCTGTTTACCAGATCAACGTTCTCCGAGATCGGAGTCAGAACCCACCCCAAAGTAAAGGTAAGGGCATGTTGACACACTGGACCAGAGGTCTCCAAACTTGGCAACTTTAAGGCTTGTGGACTCCCAGAATTAGCTGGCTGAGGAATTCTGGGAGTTGAAGTCCACAAGTCTTAAAGTTACCAAGTTTGGAAACCTCTGCCCTGGACTATAGAGGGGTTCTTATTGAGTAGGTGGGCTTCTTCTATGATTAGTTGTAAGTTTTCTCAGTGCCTCTCAGGATTTGGAAATTTGTTCCTATATCCAACCATCTGCTAAAATTGATACAGAAAGACACTAATATTTGTTATTTGGTAAAACATTACCAACTGGGTAACATGAATGCTACAAAGGAATGGGGATTGCTTAGTTATTTTCTTGCATGTGTTTCATTGACCAATTAAGTAACATCATCTGTGCTTGAAGGAAGTGGGGTTTGCGCTCAGTTTATTTTCAGGTATCTTGCCCTGACAGTGTTTGTGGACACTGGAGAATTCCTGTAAGACTTCCACTCAGACAAAATCCGCCATCAACAGTCTCATAGAGATAACTACATCTACACACCTTTCAAAAGACACAATAAAAAGCCCAAAAGGAAACAAAAAGAACAGAACATGTTCTTTCTAACAATCAACACTCAGATAAGCAGAGATCAAAGAATAGAATAGAACAGAACAGAATACTTTATTGGCCCACTGTGACTGGACACACAAGGAATTTGTTTCTGGCGCATAAGCTCTCAGTGTACATACAAACAGCAAAGTTATGTTGTTGGTTTGAGCTCCGAGCTTGGTGATTTGGTTGCAAACATTCCGTCCCCATTCAAGAAGACATCTTCAGTGGGCTTTGAATACCAAAGCTCACTGAAGATGTCTCCTCAAATGAGGACGGAACGTTTGCAACCAAATCACCAAGCTCGGAGCTCAAACCAACAACATAACTACCAACTCAAGCTACTAATATTCAAAGACATTTCAAACAACAAAGTGATAGGTCATAGATCATAGCTATAATCATTAATCATAAGATACAATAACAAGTGATAAATCATAGAAACCAATATAAGAAGGTATTAGGAAAGATGAGAAGATGAGAAAAATGAAAGATGAGAAGGATCATATCAATGCAGCCTACTATATGGGTAAATATCTTTAGGCCTAAGACAGTGCTGTGGGAATTAGGTGTTCAACGGAGTAATGGCACGAGGGGGAAAAATACCCCAGTCAAGGAACGACCAAGTCAGGCAACAAGCTAGCAGTAAGGTAAAAGTAAAGGTTCCCCTTGCACATATGTGCTAGTTGTTTCCGGCTCTAGGGGGCGGTGCTCATCTCCGTTACAAAGCCGAAGAGCCAGCACTGTCCGAAGATTTCTCCATGGTCATGTGGCTGGCATGACTAAATGCCAAAGGCGCACAGAACGCTGTTATCTTCCCACCAAAGGGGTCCCTATTTTTCTACTTGCATTTTTACATGCTTTCAAACTGCTAGGTTGCCAGAAGCTGGGACAAGTAACGGGAGCTCCCTCCATTACGCGGTGCTAGGGATTCGAACCGCCGAACTGCCGACCTTTCTGATCAACAAGCTAATCAAGGAATCACCAAGAATATTCCCTCCAATGCTGACAGGGCAAGCCCCCTGTATATAGCAGAGAGCCAACCCACTCCTTTCTACCCCTGATGATGTTACCCAATTGAGTAATGAAATGTCTGCAAGAAAAGATCAAAGCTCAGAGAGCACCAAGGACCCCACAGTTGAACCCTGAGCTACAACTATTCTCTTCTCTTTTTATCTCTGGTGGCTGTCCCTCCAATCTTTGCCTGGTTTCATACATGACTTCCTTGTTTTCCAGCTTGCTTACTTGTGGCTTTCTCCTCCGCCATCGAGGTCATTGGTCATTCTACCCCATCAACTTCTCCAAACAGTTTAGTTCACGCTACACTTTTCCTTCTACAAGCTTAGCAAGTTCAGCAGATGGAAACGGAGGATGCAGTCGGTTCAAAGACCAGTGCAATTTTTCTAAATAGCATATTTGGGTTTGTTCACATAGGATCAGACATGGTTCTAAATCCTGGCTTGCAAACCCATGGTGACCTAAGCCTTCTCGAGTCGAAATTTGTGACGCCATGCCAGAAGTCCGCTTCTTTAAACTGCGGTTTGCAACGGAACGTCTGTGAGGTAGATTTCGCCACAGAGAGGATTTGAACGAGGCCCGCAATTGTCAAAGCTGTGCATTCCTAATTTGGCCCTCCACATGCAAACATCTTGAATTTCCTGCCCGTCTCTATTTCAGGACGTTTTGATTACTCTCGCCTTGGGTTATACTCAATTTCCTCCAGCTTTGCTTAGCTACGGCCAGGAAAAAGACAATATCTTTCAGCATCAAACTGGCTTCTTTTTTGTTATAATATTTTTTAATTTTTTTTATATACAATAAATCCATCCTGTTTCAACCATGTGTCGATTAGGTACACATTTCATGTGCTTACAGTTTATAGTTAATACTCTTCTTATCACTATAACAACATAACAATAATCACATTTTCATATAAGTAATATCCAGTGGATCTATTTTTACAATCTTCTCTTATTGCTATTATATACTCATCTAGTCCATTTTAATTTGTTTTATTTTCTAACCCTTGGTAAATACCATGTAATATTCAGATTCTTCTTTTTCTTTAATTTCCAACGTTAATCTATTCACTTCTGCACATTCAAATATTTTTTTCAATTATTTTCCCCTCTATCGGTATCTCGGAGAATCAAACGGCTTCTAAGGGATCTCAGAGCTTTCGTCTAAAAACTTTAAAACTACCAGCTGTTCCTTGCTTTTCTGTTGCTCTCCTGGCTTGTCACCTTCTCTTTTCTCAAATTACCGATGCCTTCCTTCGCTTCTTGACTTTCCGCACCACTGCTGACTCTTTCCTGACTCTTCCTAAACTTCTGGGAGGCCCGTTTTTCAGCCTTCCCAGCCTCCGTGTGCACCCTGCACTTACCTGCATCCAAAACGGGCCACCTTGGGATTCCTGGGAGGGGTGGGGCGGGGTAGGCGGGGCCATCCAGGAGTGGGATTTTGGGGAGGGTTTCTCTGAACTGCACAGAATCTTAGCTGGACAGAATCTTCTCCCAAACCCCCTGCGAACCCCCAGCAGCCCAGCCCTGGGCTCTATGAGAAATGAGCAGGTCTTCCACATCCTTTCAATCTTCTTTAGTTTCACCTTTGCAGCAAATACAATATCTGTGCAGATGGCCAAGCAATCTCAAGGCAGAAACACAATTTCCCCCCCCCCCAAGGAGTAGGTCATTGTCCTGAACCAAATCCTGCTTCTCCTCTCCAAGACATCCCAGCAATTTTGGAGTTAAATACTTGGACATCTCAGGTCTTTGAACAGAGCAGGGATTTTTCAGACTGTGCATCCCAGCTGCAGCTTGTTTCATAATTGACAGAGCACAATATTGATTGTGGGCTTATTAAAACCACATGCACATTTTTGTAGCCGAACAGGCTGTGCAACACAAACCGAAGCTGATCTATTGAAGTCTTTCTCCACCATCAATGTCCTTGTCCTTCATTTAGGGCCAATTAGCCCTATCTATTTATCTGGTTGTTAAAGAAAGCCGAAAATGGAATAGAAGAGCTGGAATTTTTGAGGTTTTGTTTTTTTTAACTAGGTACAGTTTATTGCCATTCAAATTCATTGCCCTCCCTTTTTTTTTCTTCCTGGCTGTTAGTCTTCAAAATAAAGACATTTGAAGCTTACTTTCCATTTCTGTTGAGATGGTTGTTTGGCATCACTCCAGTGTTCTTGGTTTGTGACTTAGTTTCTGTTTTGTCACTGAATCGTTGCAAAGTTTGTGATTCCTCATGAAAGCACAGCATTGCTTAGAAAGAGAAAGCAAAGGTTTCCTTGCCAGGTCATCTCCAACTTTAGGATACGGTGCTTATCTCCGTTTCTTGGCCAAGGGAGCCAGTGTTGTCTGAAGACTCTTTCCATGGTCCTGTGGCCAGCATGGCTGTACGCCACAGGCACATGGAATGCGGTTACTTTCCCACCAAAGTGGTAGCTGTTTATCTACTCGCATTTGCATCAGTGGTGGGATTCAGAAAAATGTACTACTGGTTCTGTGGGCATGGCTTGGTGGGCATGGCAGGGGAAGGATACTGCAAAATCCCCATTTCTACCCCACTCCAAGGGAAGGTTACTGCAAAATCCCAATTCCCTCCCCACCCCACTAACCTGCTTTCCAGCTCCGTTCTCCCATGCAGGGCAAAAAAAGGAGATCCAGCCAATCAGCTGGGACTTGGGAGGAGGTAGAGAATAGATGGGAGTAATAGTAATAGATGGGCGAACCACGAGGAGACAGTGAGTTCTAGTCCCGCCTTAGGTAAGAAAAGCACCTGGATGATTTTGGCGAGCCACTAGGAGACAGTGAGTTCTAGTCCTGCTCTAGGCAAGAAAACCACCTGGATGACTGGAGAACCACTAGGAGACAGTGAGTTCTAGTCCCGCCTTAGGCAAGAAAACCACCTGGATGACTTTGGAGAACCACTAGGAGACAGTGAGTT